AGGGGGGGGGGGGGGTATTACATTACATAACATAAAAAAATATAAATTTAAAATATTTGATTTTTTTAGTATTAATGTTTTATAATTTGATGTGAACATTTATTATTATAATTGGTAATTTTATTTATTTTGTTATTATACAAATTATTATTTTATCTTAGTTGTCTTTTCATTTATTAAAAATTAATTGATTTGTATAGTATTAATAATAAACAAAGATTCATTTTAATATTATTAAATTATAAATAAAAAGAGTAATATAAAATAACCATGATAACAGAACTAATAAATTTTATTTTTATAAAATTTATAAAAATAATAAATTTATATTCGTATTACTTATTTTTGTATTTTAGCATCCAAAAATTTTTTAATATTAAATAATATACTCTATACACATGTGACATAATATATATTTATTTGTACGTGTATGTGTTAAAATTTTGTATATAGTACATTATGATATTCGATAGAAGCCTCACAAATAAACATATAATAAATCGAATAATAAATAAGCCTAAATTATTTATATCATTACCTTAAACGATATGTACTGTATGTACAATTTTATATATTGAAAATATCTAATATAAAAATACATTGAAAATTAAACTTTTAACAAAGGTACTATTAAGCTGAATTTTATTGTATATTTCATCAGAACTGATTATATGAATTAACATAACAATGAATCGAACAATTCAAAATCATGAAAAAATTTTTAATACTTATGTGGATATTGTATTACAACTCGGTTATAATATACTTATACTCACGAATCTTGTAAAAATACAAAGTATATGTGAATATACTCTGCTGTCCTCTTGAATAAACTTAGTATGTCGGTGTTCCTTTTTATTGTTGTTTAAGTCTTAAACCAAGAATCTTTTTGTTTTTGTTTTGATGTATGAATAGAAATAAGCATAATTGACAGAAAATGAAAATAATTTTTCTATCATTTCTATTGAATTGTCTTAAATTTAAACATAAATTACTCTATAAAGTTACTCTATATGAAGAATGTAATCAGCAAAGTAACTAAATTATTTTAAAATAATATCAATTATTATATTGAGCATTTATAATATATATTATGAAATTATTATTATTCTAGAAGTAATGAATCTTCATTAAATAAATAAACAAAAATAATAAAAATAAAAAACGAAAATGGAAATTAATTTTATTTTTTTAAATACGTTATAAATTATATAACAAAATTTTCCATTTTAATTTTATATACTATAAAAAATATATTAATTATATATACAAAAATATAAGCTAACTATATATCAATTAACCTATTGATTAAAAAAAAAATACATAACACAATATACTTTTACTACAAATGCTTTCACTTTGTACTTTTATTGGTTTCCAAATATTTTAATCGAACAGTTAAAAAATTATAGTAGTTAATATATGAATTTCTAAAATAATTCCATATGTGTTTATTTATTATTTATCTTATCCATTTAACTCATTAGCTGTTATACATCAATTTCATATCTAATATATAATAATAATAAATAATTTTAATATTAACTATTCTTATAGGTTAAATTCTAACAACTGTATAAAATATAAATTATTTTTAAATGTTTTACATTGAACAAAGTCTTTCTTACAAAAATTAATTTCTTTTTTATAAATCTTTGAATATTAAGTTGATTTAGAAGAAAATTATTATTATTATTTTATGCTATTTGATATTTTGCAATAAAATTTTAATTTTGTATCCTCTTTGTAGCTGTTGAATTTAAATTAAATAAATTAATTATATACGAATATGTATTACGTACATATACTTGGTTCATAAATTAAAGTATCATAAATAAATTAAAGTTTCATAAATAAATAAAATTTTAATATGCATACAATATAAATGTCAATTATTTTAACTTTAATTACGTTATTCAACCCAAGGTTTACAGATTATTAAATTAAAGTAAAGTGAAATCTTGTAATTAAATAAATCCCTAATATAAAATATTTCACAATATTTCATTTTATAAACTAGAATTATACTTCAAGAAAACTATTGAGTGCATAAATGTAAATCATGTCTTTATTAAATTTTATTTGTTCATATAAGTAATTCGATACGTAGTCCTATATTCAACAACATAATTAAATTAGTAAATTCAACTCTCAATCAGTAGAAATCACTTATAATCTAATTATATATAAAATTTTTATTTGTAAAAATTATTTATTCTAAATATATCACTGAAAATGAATTATTGTCCAACTTAATAATTTCGCATAAAATTCACTGTTTGTATAAAAGTATAAAAAATTACAATTGAACACACCAAAGCTAATATTATTTCACGAATTATAAATCTCTAACATGTAATATCAATAATCTAATTTTATATTTGTCTAAATGTTTACTGGTTTTATTAATATTTAATATATCTTGCCTCTTTTACAGTTACATCAGGTATATATTTTTGTCACACAAACTGTTTTAAATGAATAAAAATATGGAAAACACCTTAAATTTTAAATTATGGAAAAATTACGATAAAATAAAAAGATTAATTTTATTAATTCAATAAAGTTTTATTGATATACGTATGAATAAAAAATAATTATTAAAAATAATTAATTAATACATATATTAATTATTAAATAATTATATAAATAACAGT